GGGGAAGAGGAGGGGGAGGAGGAGGAGGAGGAGGAAGGAAAGAGATATTCCATCTTGTCGCCAAGACAGTAACAGATCGCAGCCTCATTTTTGAGATAACTATAGAATCGGCATTCGGCATAGTGGGTTTTCAATTGTCGCGTCGGAAAGATCGATCCACGATCGAGCTATGAAACCGACATATTTCCCGGTTATTGCCGGATACTTCACCAGCTGGTTTCGAGCGGAGTGTTTTGCCTCCTACGGCGACATAGAGCGACGTAGGTACGACGGTACGAATTTGAGTACCGTGTGAGACGAGTGTCGAGCCATCGGGGCGCGCAAACGCCAGCTGTCATTCGTTCAGACCCACGGTGTCCAGCCCTCGTACAACAAGGCCAGATTATCGTTGCTCTGTGCTTCACGTATCACGTATTCCACCTGTTCGGCCGTGGTATACTTGCGTGACGGTTGCGGATCGCGGCCCTCCAATTTCATACGCACGCGACGCCACACGTTCAGCGCGTAGGCGTTCCGCTCTTGCACGGCTACATAATAAGAAGAGAAAGAGAATAATTGTGTTATAAGCGAAGTGTATCAATCGATAGACAGAACACAAGATTGGAACCTACCCTTGCCCGTGGTCGGATCTCTGGTCAATACTGTCCCCTTCCTCGGACTCGGGCATACGCTGTTCTGTCGCACCAACTTGCCCTTCTTCCTCTTCTTTCTCTTCCTCGGCAGATTGCCTGTTGCAGGCTTCTCCGCGCTTTTCGTCGAATTTAACTTGCGCTCACTCGCAAACTCCAGCAATCGATTGTACAGACTAGGCACTTTGATCGCCATCGCCTCCAATTCTTCCTTCATCGCCATACCGCGAGCAGAATCGAAATTCTCGGCTTCCAGTTCCTTCACTGCAGCCGAAATATTCTCCGTGAAAGACCGATAGGTAAACAGATAATCCTGCAGACCATCGATATTCTCCTGCTTGGCCATTGTCTTTAGCAACGCTCTAACGTCCGACATTAATCGGTGATGCTCGGCGAGTACATTCTGCAGATTCATCACTCGCTCCCTTAAATAGTCTTCGGCCGTAAAGAGAGCCTCTTGTTTCTCCTGCAATTTTTTCTGAGTGTCGATTATCGCCTCGGATACCATTTTCTCGGCCTGCTTCAACCATGTGGCATCCACGTTGTTCTCCAACTGCAGCAGCTGTACAAGGCTCTCCTCAGTCATGGTAACGGTAATGTTCAGGTTGACCGTCAACAGACAACTCTCCTCCCAGTGCTTGATCAATTTGACTAGGTTGGTATCGTGCGTTACACTCTCCGAGGTCCTGGTTCTCAGAGCCTCGTAGTGCAGTATGGAATTGCACGTATTGACTACCATCGCGGCTAAATTGTGCTGTCTAGTCAATTTATCGCACGACGATAATACCGCGTTGTCGAACGCGGACATGACTTCGCCCAGTGCTGGATTGGCGCCGGCAGCCCATTTGAGACGTTGTACAGCACTCGAAATGAGATTCTGTTGTTGCTCGCGTGCTTCGCATACTCGCGACTGCAAGTTTGACAATTTCGCTGCCTTTTTTCGTAATTCGAGCATGAAGGTAGAGCGATCTAAAAGAAACAAAGAAATTATTTCTGATTACTTGGTTAAAACTTGGTTAAAACTTAAAACAGACGACAGTTTAATTTTAATTCGTTAAACCTCTCTTGCAGGAGGTTCCGTACCGTAGCGGTAAAATAAACGACATAGCAATCGATTAAAGGACTCACTCAAACGATTCATAGGATGCATCGGATTCATTGGATTCATTGGATTGATATTGGGTCTCATCATTAGAACATCTTCGTACAACCAATGATAAGCTGTCTGCTGAAGTTGAAGTCTCTGAAGACTGATCCTGGCTACCTTGGCGCTCTGTTGCGCCAATCTAGCAACCTGTTTCCGTCGCCAAGTGCTTTCCAAAGTGCTATTCAACGCACTCCCTTGCGTAAAGACCGAGCCTGAGAACAATCCCCTCTTCAAGCACAAATCTACCATCTTTCGACACAGCTCCTCTAGCGAGACCTTGCTTTCTGCTCCAATATCTCTCTGTTCGATCTCGGTAGTTACATTCAGGCCCATTCGCTGCAGCAGAAAACACAGGGCGATCGCCAATGTCTGCGTCGTCACTCCGAGCAATTGCCTCGAAACATAATCGGCAGTGAATAATCGGACGGGCTTGTTAAGCCGTTCATCATCATATATGTTTGCCAAGCCGCCCTTGAATGCAGTAGCAATGTCCCTGCACATCATAAAGAACTCTTGTATAGTATGCAATCTCTTGATTAGAAATATATCTTCGAGAACTTGTCGGATCGCCTTGTTGAAAATGGGCACCGACATCTCCTTGGCCTCGCGTATCTGATCAATCTTTTTCCAATTCATCGGAATGTCCAAGGTGCTCAGGATAGCCACTAAGGCGTTACCTTCCATTTGCACTTTTTCAAACAAACCATTGAAACCCATTAGTAACATTTGACCTGGCGTTAGACTTTCCTCTTGATTCAAATCTTGAACTTCCGCCTGTCGCGACAATAACGCCTCGAATCGCAATCTTATGTTATTCACTATATTTTGTACTACCGCGTGGGGGCTCTCCATCTCCATCACAGTGAACCGGAGATGCATCTCAAGCTGCGCCAGAATATCACCGAGCGGTATTCCGGTCAGTATTATAATCTCGTCGAGTTCGCTTATCATTCGCATGACACTCGGTTCCTCCGTGACGATAGTCTTCATCGCCTCCGGTAATATGATAGTTTGGAAGTTGTAATTAAGATCCTGTAGACCCTTGTAAATACAATCGGCGCTTCTCAAGCACTTGAATATCAGCGCAATCTTGGGATCGGTGTTGTTGATCTTGTGGCTCTCTGGTATCAGCGTGATAAACTCGACAATCAACGACGACACCAGACGCATGTCGTCCAGGAACCAATCCCCCTCGCGGGATGTAAGATCCACTAAGCAATCTCCGGCGCACTTGGCAGCGCCCTCCATCATCAAATATCGCATGTTCAAGGAACAAAGCGCGGTGATATTGACACATTCGAACGCTTTCTCCGCACCCTTTTCCCGCCGTAAAAATCCGGTAATTTGTGCTCTTGACTCGGCGTACGCTTTCTCAATTCTATTGCCGGCTTCCGGCAAGCCTTGGGATACTGTCCTCTCATAAGCTTTCTTGTATCTCTCGCTAGACTCATTCAAGATCGCTTCCAACTGATACGAAAAGGTTATTATCTGCTGAACCTGCGGATTGCTCGGATTGATTGGATTTAGACTGGCTTCGAATCGTACCATGATTTCGTGACACGCCTCGACGGTACCCGTGGCTAACAGCTCGCTCGCCCAAGTGTGATAGAGCACGACACGGTGTTGCGACAGAATGCTTAGAGGGTACAGGTTGCAGATGGCGGAATATTGACTCAACAGCTCTAAACATTTGCTTATGGAGAAGGCCTGGTCGGTAGCCAGTTGCATCAGTTCGTTTTCCGACTGTTCGCATTGTACTATCATCTGACTTTGTCCGGCGTTTTGCAGAAATTCCTTCACAAGGTCGAACACTACATGATCTTGTTGATTAGTCAAGTTTCCCAATTCCGCCAGCCATTGTCCTAGTTGAGAGCCTCGTACTGCGGCCAGCGCGATCTAAAAAAAAATACAAATCATCAAACAAAGTAACATCGAAGAAACATTATATAATCGAGATCAATCTCGAGATTTGCGGGAATGCTTTGGTTTTTGTAGAATCGAGATTGCGGTTATACTCGAGAACGCCAACTCACATTATGCATATTTATCTGTTTCTCGCATTCCTCTATCTTCTCCTTCAAGCCTGCCTTTGCCTTCTCGTGAGAATCTCGTGCTCGTTTGAATGAATTGTATCGCTTAACTAGCGAATATAACGCGTGATTCCGACCGATTGCCTGCGCCTCTTTTACTAGCGCGAGCTGCTGATGTCGATCCTGCAGTAAATCTTGGCACTGACGCGATGCTTCGGTCGCCTCGATCCAGCTGTTCAAGTGATGGCACAGCAGCGGCAAGTTTTTTGCCAATTCATCTCTGAATTCCATCCCATGAAAGTAATACAAGTTATTATACAAGGAGGATAAATGCAAATAACGATATAATAGAGATACAAGTTGAAGTACGAAAAAGAAGCTAAGTTGAGTCTTTTTCATCACTATCGAAGTCTTTTACCACAGCTTCAGTAGTGGATGTTGAAAGGGAAGAAGAGAAATATATATTTGTGAGAAGAGAAATGTATGTTTTTTTAAATGCATTTTAAATAGTAGGAAAGTAAAATAGGAATATTGTTCTCTCACCGATTAGCTAGCCATTCGGCGCGCATCTCTGCCGTTCTTACTGCAAACATTGCACGCGTGAGCTCCTGCTCCAACTGTTTTCTTCCAACGCCAGTGCATCTCGCTCTAGCCTGGCAAGCACCGTAACTTGCTATGCTAGTGTCCGCGCCCGCCCGCCAATCTACCAAAGGATCGTAGACGAACGCCTCCAGCAAGGTCAACAGCGTCTCGCGGCCTCTACGCATCACTCTTAGAGTATGCTCGGAAGCGAACCTAAATATACCCTGGACATAAATAACGATTAGAGTAATGGTAATTACTCTACCATATGTACATATATATATACTGTTCATAATGGATGCATAGTTGGAACATTGCTATAGGAGAATACAACAACACGATCATGATTGTGCATACGTTCATCTCCCATCGATCTTTTACGATTACGGGCAAGCCGCTGATAGCGCCGGCTGATAATTTAATATGGCAGTTCTGTCTTTGCCAGGGAAACTATTAAATGAGTAGATAAGTAAAAGCACTCCTGAATGGATACCAGCGTGTCATATCTGCCGAATCGTTTTGTATCGATCTACGCTCTCATGTGCGAGAGATATCGCAGCTATTGTGAAGGCTAACGCCGCATCATTAACAGCTAAACTACATTCCAAATAATTAATTTGTTTCCTCTCTCTAAAAAGTGACGAAACAAACGCGAGGTATCGTTATTTTTTCGTTTTGAAAGCTAGAATTGCTGCTTATATTTGCAGAAATTAATTTATTTCGAATATTTCGTAGGTTTACGTAATCGTAATGCACAATTCGCAGTATACCTTGACATTTTATAGAGTACCATCGAAAATCCGTTTCTTTCCGTGTGTATATACGCGTATGCGTACGAAAGGTAAGTAATATTAGCAGTATTAGCTGACTGATCGTTTTTCACATATTTCACATATTTTTGTACAAGTCATTCCGATGATTTTACAAAACTGAAAAAAATCTTGTAAGACACAAATAGCCATGACTGATGTATAAAGTGTGCCACGAAGACATATAATATATCCTCAGTTTAATTTCTCTGTAAATGGATGCATCCAGATGCAAGTTTTCTTATTCCTAAAAGAATTATTACTATATATTCTTCGATCATTTTTAAGAGAAACTTTAATGGGAAGCTGTAAAAATCTTATATGTTTAAATTCAAGTGGAAACTGTTTGAAAAACTGCTTGAAAAATTGTTTTTTAAAAACTTAAAACATACATATGCGCACATAATGTACGTAAATTTCTTTTCAGAACTGTGTATTCGTATTTGGAGGAAAGCAACATTACTGAAATGAACACGGCCGATTTGTCGGAAGCAAACAGCACCGATGAACAGAACAGTTACGTGTTATGGATCTTGCTGGATTGTTTCCTGTTTGTTGCAATCATATTGGGAAATATCTTGACAATATTGGCCATTACGTGGGCTCGTAAGCTCCGAAGCGTCGTTTCGAATTACTTTATCCTAAACCTAGCGGTATCGGATCTTATGGTGGGCATAACGGTACCGTATCATTTGGCGTTTTACGTGGATAGTGCGTTACACCGCAACAAGTCGGTGTGCATCTCGCGTTTCGTCATGTTTATCTTAGCGTGCGGCGGGAGCATATACAATCTCATAATGATCGCGATAGACCGATACGTTGCTATCGTGCATCCACTGAGCTATAACGTATACGCGACCAAAAGACGCGTGCTGATGATTATAGTCGTCGCTTGGATATGCACTATGGGCGTGTCATCGATTCCGATATATTGGAATGGGTTCGATAAGTCACATTCGTGTGAATTGGAAACGGTATTGCCGAGGTACACCACATCTATCACTATTCTATCACTATTCTATCACTATTCTTCGTTTTTCAGTCAATATTCCATGCGTAACCATAATAGCTGCGTAACCAGACATTTATTATTTCACATTCAATAATTGTCGTAAAAAGAAAATTAATTGTTTTTGATCGATCAGTTTATTATTTCAAAGCAGCTGCTCATGCGCGACTGTAAAAATTTATATCATAAATTAATACGTTATTTTGGTAGATATTACATAGTGGCTATACAAATACCGGCATTCTTTCTCAGTTGGATAGCAATGTTTCTGCTATATTGGAAAATTTGGAGAGAAGCGCATATGCACGCGCGTCGCATGAACCTTGGCATCATTCGGAATATCACTGAGAAAAACGATAGCAAAAGCGTACAGGTATAGTATATGACGTCTTAAATCAAGGCAGAAAACTGAATTTGCTGCAGAGATGAATTAAAAGTTTTACAAGTATAGCAATATTAATGAGTGATAATAATAACAATGATGTTCGGATTAGGTGGTATTGCTGATATTGGGCTGTTTTTCCATCTGTTGGTTTCCTTATTTTATCATAGTTTGCATGCGAACCTTTGATTGGAAAACAAAGTCGTTAACGGTTTGGTACAAATCTACATTCGCATTGGCCATTGCCAACAGCGGAATGAATCCCTTCATATACGCGTGGAAAAATACCAACTTTCGTAAGGCCTTTCAAAAGATTTTACATTTTAAATCGCCCAATAGCAATTTCAATTCCAGTTTCAAAATGTACTTGGAAAAACAACGAAAGTTAAATAACCAGGCAGATAATCAGCATACAAAACAAACAGGAAGAAACAACAAATGTTCACTCGAGCGCCAATCTGATCATGCAGAAGAAAACAGAATAGAAAACACAATTTTTTAAATATCATTCGTCTTATCATTTAACTAAAAGCTATCTAATAGAAGAACAAATTGTAAATTATTTCATTTTCCTTCAATCTTTTATCTCCCCTCCCCCCCCCCTCTCTCTCTGTCTCTCTCAACTGAAAATATTAAAATAAAGAAATTATAAACGTACATAAAGAATTAACACGAGAGACATTTGTCTGGTGCAAAATTAAAACGTTTCGAGTACGGTGTAAAAATTTTCAACATCGATGAAATTTCCGAGGGTATTAAAATTTCATAATCGTAATTGGACTTTTGTTATAATTAGAATTAAAAGATACCAATTATTTGTTATTTCTTCATCTTATTAAGAAATATTTTCTCGATAAGATTATCAGAAGACGTACCTCGACTCCGGTTACTCCTAAAGCCGTTTTAATATTTGGCGTCATGCGGAACGGCACCTTTTCCGGGACACGTAGAGTTTTTCCTTTCTCAAAGCAGACATTGTAATCAATGTGTACAACTTCGCCGGTATTAAGATCAACGAGAACGTTATCCAAATGCCTGTCGCCTAAACCTATGATGTAGCCAATGATGGACATTACAGCAACGGAATATGAGTAGTTCTTGGTAGCTTGCCACCAGCTGCCGACGTTGATACTGTTACACCAGATCTCTCTGCAATGCATGAGAAGATAAAGGGAAAATAAATACAGAAAAAAAGAAAGAGAGAATAGATGTCGAAAGTATCCGATTGAAAAGTATGCTAATGCCCGTTTTTATTACAACTAACTTTGCCAGTAGATCCTTCGGAGTCTCCCTCATTAATTCCTCCAAAACTTTTTTCAGCACATGAATAGGCCACTCCTTTCGGTTCTCCAAGCCGATCCCGCATTCTTTCAACAATGGCGTCAACTTGTTGTAAAACAGTTCCGACGGTCGCATAATAGCAGAATTGCCGCCACCGGTTTTGCTGACGGCGCACTCACGCTGCTGCCATCGCTTATAAAGTATAAACAGTGGCGTAACGCCATCGACCCACTGAATGAGACCGGATCTGGGACCTAAAGGGATCACTGAATAGTGCCGCGCCCTGTAGACCTTGGTATCGCTATTCTTTGACATCATGGTGTTACATATACTCAGGAATTGCATTATCCTCTCGTCTAGATGCAGATCCTCTAGTCCCTTGAATAAATACGTATAAACGTGGCCATCGGACCCGTGGAATATCAATTTTTTAGGCTTTGTCTTCGTCGGTAGAATCTGAACATTATTGTCCACCGACATAATGGTGACGATTCTGTTATCGATGGCAGCGACGCCCGGCATGGCGATACGGGTGTCCTTCAGATTAGCCAGAATAGGACTGATGTCCATCATTGACAGAGAATAAGCGGCTCGTCGGTGTACGCGTTGCGCTAACTTGGTTTCCAAATGTTTCAAGGCCAAACTGGCCATTTGGGGCTTTGCTGGATTCTTAGGATTGTTCAATCGATTTATCACCTCCTCTATAGAAGCACCAAACTTCTCCTGAAAGGTCTTCTCGTGTGGCGTCTCGGCAGATACAGACGTCATAGATAGCAGATTCTCTAATATAAATGTAATTGGCTTCAAAATAATCCTATGCTTTTCCGCGATCAATTTATCCTTCTCTTCGAGCGTAAGCCATATATTGTCCTGCACCCGTTGAATCTCAATTTCTAGCTGCTCGAATCGTTTGGTAATCTCGGTGTGATGTTGACACAATGTTGCCAACCACAGTTCGTCCCACAACAATGTGATTCGTCTGAGCTCCTTCACTAGCACTTTCACTTGAATCACCGAATCCTGTATACGATTCGAGAGACAATCGACCAACTGCGAGAAATAGGAATCCATGAAACTCTCATGTTCGTCGTTATATGCAATTGTTTCCGCTACTGTCTTTTCTTCATCGTCATCATCGTCCTCCTCTTTCTCCTCTTCATTCTCCTCCTCCTCCTCCTCCTCCTCCTCCTCCTCATCCTCATCTCCCTCATCCTCCTCTTCCTCCTCGTCCTCCTCTTCCCCGTCATTATTCTCCTCTCCTTCTTTTCCCTCTCGTTCCTCTATGACAGCACTCAAATCTACATCATTCTGCGAGCTATCATTGTCATCGGGCTTTTCATAAGGGCTAACGACCTTGCCGTACATCTTCTTCTGCCCGGATACCGCGCCCACCACGGCCGGGAACGTGATCAAATGCGGCGAATTCTCGGCCACTCGGCACAACAGCTCGGATACCTGAGTCCTCACGTACGTCTCGGGATGACTGAGTCTCGAAAATAACTGCGGTATAATCTCTTTCCATGGCGCGGTCGGGGTTGTCGAGAGACCGGCTTCGAGAACATTCTGCAATTCGAGAGCGTGCTTCACCACGAGTCTCAGTAATCTCAACGTTGCCGTGATGGTGTCGCACTCGTTGCTGTCATTATTTGCTAATTGTAAGTATTTGAAATACGCGTTCGCTGAAAGCTCGTAATACGAATAGATCCTTTTCTGTGCCTGTCGCCAGATGTCGACCAGCATACCGAGATGTTCGTTGCTGGCGTGACTTAAGACCGATACGTTCCTCAGTTGATTCTCTATCATGTCAGATGTGTTTATGTCATTCATGTCGATATCACCCTCGTCTTCGGGTATGGTTTTGTTCTGACTTAGTATAGAAAAAATGGTGTTGAGATCAGTTTCGGCTATATCCATCGGCAGTAACGACTGTATATTTATTCGATCAGTATCCGTCAATTGACCAGAATTGGAGTTGTCCACAATCTTTCGGCCCCACTTGTAACACCAAGCGGCAAAACTGGACCAGGCTCGCGGCAGATCCGGACACTGATTCACGCCAAGTTGCATCAATTTACCGATTATCATGTCCGACGTAGGAATCAGATCGATCGTCTCGCCAAACAGTTTGTCCATCAGGCCGTCGTTGTGCATAGCTTCGAATCGGAGCAATTCCTCCAATTGAGGATTCTCCTTCACGTTTGTGTCCTGTTGTATCCACTTACCCAGGGTAAGCAAAAGCTTGGTTCCCGTTTCCCGTAAATCAGCAGACTGCTCGCCACTGACGATCGCTTGCGAGATCCCCAACGCGGTCACGCAACACATTCTTAAAGCCTCGCTCGTTTTCTCCATGTCATACAATAATTTCGACAATTCTCTGAATGCGCGCATACTACTCTTAGTCCATTTCACGTGGATAGGCCCGTTCAGCATACCGCTTGTGATCTCAGTGAAAGTGCAAGCAGTCGAATTCTCCAATCGAATGAGGTCTTGCTCCGATTTCAAGTACTTGATCATCTCACGTTTCGCTAAATTAAAGTTGCCTTCTTTCCTGGCCGTTCTGACAACATGTAATCGTAGACTGTCCACCTCCGTAGAGCCGCTGTCGCACGCTTGATCCAGATACTCAGACCACCACAATACCTGCGTTAAAATGTTGGAATTGATATTATTCACTTTATCAACCTTGAATAATTCGAAAACGTTCTTGTCCTTCTTGCCGCGCGATATGTTCTTCAGTCCCGTCGCAGAATATTGAAGCAGTATAGCATCACTGAGATACTCCGACGGCACGTTCCGCAATCCGTCCTGCATCACCTTGGCCGCAACCTTTTGGCATCTCTCGATAATACTATCGTCAAACGAATCGTCGAATTCATTAAGGCGAATTCTGAGCGCAACGTTCGTCAAACTGTTGCTGCACGCAGCCAGCGTTTTCGCGCAGCTCCAATTACTTTTCTTCTCCAGCAGGTTCCAATTCGACAACTCATCCAAGGAGATCAGTTTGCCCTCCTCGAACTTTTTCAGACAATCCGCCTGCTGCGGAACAATATTTTCTGCAATTTGCTTCCTCACGGCGATATAATTCTCTTGCGTCAGCATCTCGGTCTCTCGTGATTTCCATTCCACTAATCCAGACCAGTCACTGACCGCTTTATAACAATTGGAAAGTCTTTGCATGCAGAAGCCCAGCACTTGACTGTCGCTCTCGAGTCTCGCGGTTCTGCCGCCTTCGTCATCATTTGTTTTAACGTGATCATGATCGTCGACGATCTGCTTGTAGGCATCCGCCGCTGACTCGTAACGCCCGGCGGCTTCCTCCATCGCTGCTTTCAACCAGGAAAACTGTCTATCCTTGCTCTTGGTATAAAGATAAAGCCCCTGTAACGCCTCCGCTTCGCCGAGTGCGACCATCGCCTGCGTAGTCCATAATGTTGCCCTCTCAAATTCGATTCCTTGCGTATTATCAGCATTGCTCAAATCCTCTAGTAATCTCTGACCGTTTCGCAACGCACTCGTTGCTAGGCCGGAGTGCAACGAGACTACGCATAAGGCCAATCGTATGCGATTCAGCCATTCCTTGCACGTCGACTTGTTCGTATGAAAGAAGGTTCTGACTGGTTTTGACAGTGGTAAGAGCGCCATCGCGCAACCATCGGCCGCATTGTGAATCACCCTTTCGAGATGTTCCAGGAACTCGACGAAGAGTCGTACTCGCGTGTGCTCGTGCAAGATGCGATCTAATTCCTGGTTCTCTAATCCCTGCTTCTTCATCACGTCTAGGTTGTGGCACGATATTTCACGAGCCAGAATCTTCAGAGCACTCTCGATTGACGTAAACGTTTCCTGTGGCTTCCCCAGAGAAGTGCGCAGCTTGTTGAGGACACAATGTTGCGCTGCTTCGAAACCGCTCCAGAAAAACAGAAACGAACAATTTGCCAATGCCAAATCATACATTCTCGCTGTAGTTCTATTCTCTGGTCTGCATGGAGAAACATTTCATGTGATTATTATCGTTTTCGCGAAAAAATAATCTCGGGTAAAGAGTACTTACACAGCTGGCCAACATAAAGTAAATATTTCCGATAACCCAGATGCGTCGAGATAATGTTCTTGCAGTAGAAACGCCATGTACGTTTTGAAATGCTGTGCTAACAATTCCCCATTGTTGTTACTTCGCATATGCAATCTTTGAGCGAGAATCAACGATTCTGTCGAATAAGTCACGATCTCTCGCACTTTCTGCATCACACAACAGTCAAGACAACATTTAAATATAGAAAACATTTAAATATGAAATGAGAAAGAGATATTAACTCGACAAATTTGGATAAAACTATATTCAGAAAGATTGCACTTACCTTGGTGTCTGAGAATAAATGCTGTTTGTTCAATTTTGATAAAACAATGTTAATGGGCATACACATTAGCAGCGCGCCGTATTTTTCGCGGATCGTTTTGTTGCACGAAGTCAAATGCAAAGTCGCTAGGTCCACAATACTCAAATAGGTCTCTTGCTTCCATACCACATCCTTTGCGGTCATTAACATTTCAAAGAGATTGCATGCTGCGCTCGCAACATCATCATTCGTTGTAGCGCCACAATTGATTAAACTCGCAATTATACTTTGACATTCCTGAGTTTCGCTCAAGATTCCGATATATTTTTCAGACTGTATGCAAATCTCTTGCAACCAAGTGGACAAAAGGAGCAAAGTGCATGCGGGCGTATTTTTGTTATATGTCTTTGCTATCAAATTGAGAATTATAGACAAATGACCGCTGGCTGGTGACGTAGTCGGTACATCCAAAGTCCCGGGAAACATATCCATCGGGCGAGAAGCGGTAGTACCTGTTATCAAGCTGGAGCTTGAAACGAAGTGATTGTACCTGTTAACATACACACACACACACACAAAAATCGACACACACGTTAAAATTATGTATTCATTCATTAAACTATCGAAAGAGAGTATTAGAAGTAGTAAGTTTCATTCTACCTGGAACAATGCGCATAGAGCAAATACAGAATATTATATTGCAAAAACGGACTTGCTGTAGACAGTGCAGTGTCGTATGGTTTTAACCTGACTGCGAGAAGTTCCAAGATACTGGGCTTTAAAGCCCACATTCCAATAATCGAATTACTTGCGTTTGCTAAAAAAAGGTATAAAAGCTCTTATTACACATTTTCTCGTTCTTTTTATACATTTGCGATTATAGCAGCGTGTATATGCTCACCTATGTCCGAAAGCGCCCGTAAGATGAACGTAACTACAATCTCAACGTCGCTTTTCGTATATTGTAGATCATTCAACGGATTGTCTGCAACCAAAATATCTATATCGGATAGTATAAGTTTGTAAGCTATTTCCAAATCCGCTAATATATAGCGATAAGATTCCTGTAATAACGGAATATTCTTTAGACTCAGAAGACTGTGATATACGCTCAAACTCGCATTTTGAATGGTAATGGAATTTCGGAATCTTAATTTTAGCAGCATCGAATTCTTGCCAAGTAACGTGTGCACCAATTCCAATGGCAAGTTCGCAGATACCTCCTTTATTATTTTTGATATGATGCTCAACATGGAGATAATGGTATCGTCCCAAAAGATGTTAACTCTTTGTAACTGAAGATCGATAAATTTATAGAGAAGCTCGTGATTCTTTGTTACTCGACTTTGAAGATAACCAAGGAGCAAGAAGGCGCATTCATTCGCGACCACAATCAATTCTTCCTTTTCTTCCGACAAGTTTTCAATCTGTTTGACTTTTGGCTCCATCGATCGCATTACACTCATTAACAACTGTCCTTTCTCCTTGGACAAAACGTTTCCTTTATCGGAAGCTATCTTGAAATTCTTCTTATCATTTTTCTTATTTATAGTCAATGACTTTATCATCTTAATAAGATTTTCCTCGGTAACGTCGTCTTTACTAAAATGTTTGGAAAGTATCTCGACATGTTCTTGCGACGAACTCATATTTCTTACATATTTGATCAAATTTTCTGGATTATTAGATATCTTGAGCCAAGTGTCGTTATCCTCTTCCAATTCGATCGCTTTTACAACGGTCTTTAACATTTTCGATAGACAATTCGTTAGGAAAGACCATTGTACGTTGGGTGCAAGATTTGGATTCAGATGCTCAGCTACGCTCTTCGTTACCGTATTAAAGACGGATATTAACGACGTAATTCGCAGAATGCATTCCCTCGGTGTCGGGGATCCATCATCGCCGGGCGAAGTACGACCGGATTCGGGCGAATTCAATTCCTCGTCATAACTTTCCATATCCTCCAAAAATTGTCCTAGTAACGTTAGAGTAAACTGCAGATCCGCTATCCAGAACGAGCGCAACTTTTGCAAACATCGACTCGCGTAAATGACAACTGACTTTTGTTGCGTGGAATCGATGTGCCAACCCACAAGTATGTCCACAGTATCGCGAAAGTGGTTCGTGAATGTTTCTGGATAAGAATCTATGATGAGTAATATAGCATCCACAGTTGCTACCAGTAAGTCTGCTCTGTCGACATTCTCTAATATTGATTGTAACTGGGACATCATCGGCTATAATAACATAATTACAAAAAATTGGTTAATATCTATTGTTATGTTGAAATGAAAGCAAATAATTAGAAATTATCGAAATTTTTAATATATGAACATAAATATATTTTTATTTACCATGGAGAATTCTTTCAATTTTGATATCTCAGAATCCATCTTGAGCGTCTCGATAAGTGATTTCATTAACAGGCATTTTACATCATCTTTATGCTCCAATGAATATTTATTAAAAATCCAGTCCATGTATCTAGAAAATACAAACAAGTTTTGTACTGTTTTTTCTTACTGTTCAAATCACATGTGTGTTGGAGGAATAAAGAGATACAGAATATATCTTTTACATATAGGAATGTGAACATACCTTTTAAAATCTTGTTCCACCACATATCCAATTCGACCCAAACACTTTGCAATCTGCTGTTTTGCCTCCTGACCAGGACCAGAGTGCAAGAAATCTAACAGACTTTCACAAATAGTTTCCAAGTTCCGTCGTATGTATCGTTGATTTTCGTGTGCGACGATACTTTCTTGCACTTGCTTGCAAAGTACCATGAGATGATCGTAATCATCTTCACGGCATAATCGTCGCAAAAGCTTAGAAATTCTCGAATCCTCTAAAACAAGAGAGAGAGAGAGAGAGAGAGAGATTTCTTTAAAAAATAAAATTCCAGCAAAACAAACACAAATATTATATGCACACACACACACACACACACACACACATACAGACACACACACACACACACACACACACACACACACACACATAAATGTAATTACCATTTATTCTTTTATCATCGTAGTATTTGCCCTGTGCGTTCTCATGATTTTTCAACGATTCTTGAAACTTGGATCTAGATGTAGAGTGATAGCTGGACTCTGAATTTGATTCGCGATCATTGAGGGTCTTTTTAAAAGCCCTTCCACGTGTTCCACCCCTAGCACGATCTGTAGATCCGCCACGTGCCATTCGAAATTCATTTCTTGGAAGACCGCTAAGTCTGGTGCAAAGAATTATTTCTTTTTAATTACCTTGATTTATTAGAGATATCATAACAAGAATATAATTGAAACAAAGGTGATGATACCTTGGCTTGAATCTTGCAAAACTGTAATCTGAGGAGTAGTTGGAGTTTCGCTGACAAATGACCAGAGTGCTACGTGGTACATTAAGATCATTGACACTATAACCACTTATCACGCCACTATCTTCTTTCTCTATTTCTCCTCCCTGATTGATAGACTCGTCTTGAGTCTCAGCACACTTGGAACCACGTAGCCTCGTGCTAGTATTAGAGTTCCCACAGCTATTCATTACATTACTCTGCAAGTGGTCTGCATGACCCACACTTAATAAATGTGTAACCTGTGGTTATCTAGAGAAAATATTATTAATTATGAAATTGCTTATACATAATTATAAATCAAAATAAACATTATGGAAGTAAACATTAAACATAAGGAAGGAACATTAAAAAGTATTAAAAGTTATTGGTATAGAAAAAAATTATATAGTCTTATTTCCACTATCCTTTGTACTATCCTTTCAAATAATAATTCACACTATAGATGAGTATATATTTTTAAAAAATATACATTTCACATACTGTAATAAGAAAATTAATAAAATATATTACACATACACACACATACACATATACACACATGCGCGCATGCACACATATATATATACAAAAGAGAGCTTTTGATCAAGAACCTTACTTCTACAATATTTATCAGCATTGAAAATATATATAAAATACTGACGCGAGAGACAATTATATAAGGTAAAATACAAAGTTATATGATCCAAATATTCTCAATTATATGTATAAAGTATATTATATCATAATAAGTTATCAAAAATAATATAATTCAAAATATCCATCCATATTTCTTTCACTAGGGATTATTCCAGTTTTTACCTCACAAAATCAAATGAGTATTTTTCAAAAATAAGATTATGTGGAAAAATTTTATAATATAGTAAGCAACTTGTGTCATGAATTTCATTTTTTTTTTCTTGTAGCGATTAAGAGTGCTTAGTATCAAAGTGTTATCTTAAAATTTTCTAAAAATCATGAAATCCATGAAACCACATGGAGTGTGAATCGTAGCGAATTTAAATGGCATTAATCGCGTTTTCGATTGTACGGTGTTGACATATCTTTCGCGCGAGCAGCATCTGTTGCTGATAATGTTACCGTCCTTTTCCTCGCTCCTGAAACTCTTAGCAAAGCGTTTAGATATAGGTCCTACGAAAATTAATTTCTCACCGATCTTGCGCAAATCTTGTGTAAATGAACGATCAGCTGTGCAGAATGTAAATAAGGCCAGCAAATTTGTAGCTTTGTCTCGCGAAGATACAAGTACGAAAATGCAGATTTGAAGGTTATGAGAGGACACATTCAGTGTTCGTCCACTTCCTTGGATTTTTATCTTTTCTTCTCTAGCTAGAATCACTTCGGTGTTACACGCCAATCACGCCAACCGCATATATACACACATACATACATGATGCGTAATGCCCTAGTCTATCGTTACTTCTAGAGAGTTTCGTTTCTGCGTAAAGTCTTTTGCATGGTCTTTTGCGTGGTACAATGGCAGTAATGGATGAGATTGTAAGAGTAACAAATTCACCAATCACAGCTGAATGTGAGAAGAATAATCGACTATGATTGGTCGAGTTCTACGCCTACTCCTTAATCAACTACTGTTACTGCCCAATTTAGACTATGCATAAGTCTTTAAAGATAGTATTTCATGCTAACGGTCGATCATTCGATATTCGTTTTTAGTATTAAGCTACATGGATGAAATTGATGCATATCAAGCATTAATTTTAATCAAATGATTTGTTGTCTTTTGATTCAACATTAGCGTCAAAAGTCAGCATGGAAAGATACGTTTACTTTCTCGCGTGCGCGATTATCAATTATTACCGAATATCAAAAAGAAACTTGTCAATTATCAATAATGCTCTTTATATGATATTTTGAGTACAATCAACGTGATGCTGCAAATGCTTTGAAGCGATTTTTAACTGGTCAGTTTGTAAAATTCTTTCTTTTAATTGGTCCATCAAATACTTCAAAGCATTTTTAGCGAGATTTTGACCACAGCTTTGCCTCGCTTAATCGTTGTGATTTCAACGAATTTCAAGTCCACGTATTCCACGAATGAACAAATGGAACAAATTGGATGTTAATCAAAAGGATTATATAGGAATTTTTTTTTACGTTTTAAATTAGAAAAGGAGCTGTGCACTTGCACACATCACTCACATCGGCCTGTTTCCTAGTAATTTTTCACTGCTTCACCTATGAGATTATATTATATTATATTATATTAAATTAACTAATTAGTGATGTGAGCAATTGATATACATCAATTAGAGATCTATCGAATTGCGCATGCGCAATTTCACTTTTCTCTAAATAACGTTATATTAGTGATCTATTTTCTATTTCTGCATTAGACTGTACTAGAAACCCTAGAAATAGGAGTCCGGCTAATAATGTCTCCATTCTTATTGGCTAGGAAAGAAAGGATATGGCGTGCAGCAAACCAATTGTTGAAATTTTTTTTCAAGCACATAATTTGAATATGGTGAAACGAAAATAAAGAAAAATTTTCAATTTAATTGTAAATAATTAAATTATTTTATTATAACATATAAAATACAGACATAACACATAAAATACAGAAAGTAAAACTATAAAACAATTATTTGACTAGAGAATGCATTGCTACTAAAACTGTTTTGTTACTAAAAGTGTTTCGTCGCAGATGTTCTTATCGGACAATTATCAAATTAAGTAATGAAAAATGTTTTACCTTCCACAGGATACGCTTCTATTTCGGGATCGGTATTCTTCTATTCTGTAAATCATGGTGGAATCAGAAAGGTAAAGCATTCTGAAGGATGCGCAGTAATCAGTGACATGCCGATAGCATTTGATTGTCAAAATTCACTCCCTTCTTATCCTCCATTATGCGTAATGCTTTCTGATTCCACAATGCTGTGCATGTAGTACAGACACGAACCATATCTACTTTCGATATGATTTTATCGATAGTGTAAGAAAATATAATCATAGTTTCTAAACTGAAAATGGGTGGGAACCACCCTAGAGGGCGGTAATATAAATATTTATAAATATAAAATTTTAGGTTAATAATTTGTCGATATCTAATTTTATTCATCATCGATGTACTTAATGATAATTATATTAAACTTTTTGGTTATACTAAAATATGTCTACATTTTGTATGTACATCAAAATATGTAAAAGGATATAAAAAGAATAACATTTAGACATATATATGTAAGTCTCTATTGTATAGATAAATTTATATTTGAATACATATGAACCAAACCAAAAAAATTTTTTTCTGACTTAGCACGCAGTCCAAGATTATACGCTAAAAAAATGACTACGCTTCATATTTGAACGCATTATAAAGTAGTATTAGTGCACTACAGGTTGTCCTTTATCATTCTCTGGCTGTACCTCAGGTATATGTGGCCAAACCGTCGGTTTATCAAGATTTATAGCAATATCTGGATAGGCATCACGAAAATCTTCCATCGTCATTTCAGAGAATGGCAATAAACTCTTTACTCTATCAATTTCCTTTTTGACAGTGGCGATGCGTTGATTCGACTCAATGATAAATTCCTCGATTTTTATATGCTATAATAAAGAGACAATCGGTGACAATAATAAAACCCTTAATTTAGAAAAGAGCTTAAAGAGCTTACAAAATGCAAAGTAAATGTCATAATATAATGTAAATGCTATACCACTTTCTTTTCTTCAGTTTCAATTTCAGAAGTATATTTATCCACTGGATATGGCACTGTGATAGATTCATATTCCTTTTGAAACTTATCGACTAATCCAATAGTTAGAATATTTTTCTTATAGTATGCCCAATCGATTTTTGGAGGAATTTCTGGACTCGCATGCATTCTATAGATAGAAAAATATAAAGAGAAACAAGAAATACACACACACACACACACACACACACATATTCCTATTTACAATATTCTTTATTGTAACAAGGAAACATATTGTTTTTATATTCCAAGGATGATACTTGAATAAAATAATTCCATAAATATTTTATAAAAGTTAAATGTACGACTGGTATGATGTGTCTCAAGAGATGTTTTAACAGATATATGGAATGGCACAAAATTAATGTGAGGTTACTCCAACAAGGACAGAGCTTGTGTAGATAATTTAAATAATTTTCGATATAGAGAAAATCTTTTTCTGAAATAATAAATTCTCTCGCATACACAGTGTGTGAACATCCAATTAAAGTAACACTTAATTGTTATCAGAAAGAGATCTAGACATATTATATAATGACATATGCAACTTGAATCAAATTCGGAAGAAAGTGATATGAAGAGTGACTGACCGTCGAAAATACTGATCAGATTTAGATTTGAAAGCAGCGAATGCAGCTTTTTCCGTTTCTGGAATTTTTTCGGCAAGCGCCGACCAATTGATCATCTTCATCGCTTTGCGTGACATACCTCGTCACGTATTTTATCACACTGATGGATGCAATACACGTACTACTTGCACGTAAATATATTCTCTTTCGTCTGATTCGTCTTTCTCGTATTCAAGCCAATTTCTTGAGAGAAGCGGAAACGACTGAAGATAGATGGTAGCCACGCAATACAGTGATACCAACAAAATAAAATAAAAATATATCGATCGAGTACACGTAATCGCGAAAGCGATGTGTATGTGTGTATTTCCATGCATGCATATGTATGTATGTACAAATATATAAATTGAATTATCGATGCCTCTATAACTTACAGTAAAGTCAGTAAAGTCAGTTTAGGATGGATGTGAAACATAATCGCAGTGGGTAGAAATGATGTTGTTTGAAGGTAAATTAAGTTGAGAGAAGTTGACATAGGGAATGAAATAAAGTAAAATATATATGCAGAAAACAGGAATTGCGCTTGATCGCGATATATCGAAATTCGAAGGTAGTAACAATTTGATTACTTATTCTCTCATCGTTCTTGTATATGATTTCCAATGTCGATAGCATTAAATATATTAAAATGTATGGAAATGCTCATTGAGAGGAGATTTATTTATGTGTTTTTTCGATGCGCCGCCGACAGACAAGAGTGGAGTAACGTCACGATCATAAAAGCCGAGCCGAACCGGGCCGGTCAGCGTTGAATGGTCGAATCACCGTTCACAGTGTTGACGGTAAGTATCACGGATGACGGGATTGGCGGGATTAGCGGGGACTGGGGAGCGTAAAGCGTTGCATATTGCATCTCTCTCGGGTCTCTCTCGCGAGTCTCGCGGTCGTGCCGTCCGTTCCGTCGTACTCGTGGTAGTCCGTGGCCGACGGCCGACGGCCGTGGGATCGATAAAGTAGAATGGAAGAGAAAGGGAGAGGGAGAGGGAGAGCGTGTACGAGAGTGAGATGAGAGGGTGGGTGAAGTGGGTGGAGTGTGGAGTGGGCGGCCGTGGCCCGTGGCGGTGGCGGCGGCGGCGGCGGTGGCGGTGGTGGCGATGCGGCGGTGAGCATAAAGAGGATAGGATAATATCGGTGCGCGTCCTCCCGCGGCGCGGCGGAGGTGTCCTTTACTCCTTTTCGCCGTTCGCGGAGCTTTGTTTCCGAATTTCCGCCTTCGTATAATCCGCCTTCGTACTATATCGTATCCCAGCCTAGCTCTCGTAGCCGCGATCTGTACGATGTAGTTATTGGTAGTTATGCCGAAGAAGGGCACGCGGCATTTGAGGGAGTTGGGGAACGCGACAAGTACTCAGCAACAATTGCAGCCACCGCCGCCCGGTGCGGCGGCGGCGGCGGCGGCGGCGGTGACGACGACGACAACGACTCTCTCGGTCTCGGAACTCTCGGAACTTTCGGAAGTGGTGCCAGCCAAGCACCTTCGCAGCGTACACTGCGTGCACATCGGTCTGACCAACAGCAAGCGTTGGCTCTCGCTTAGAAGACGCCTAGGTTTCACGGCAGACGATGATGTCGCGGTGTACTTGCTGGACCTCGCAGAATCTACCACCACCGCCGCCGCCACCACCATCACCACCACCGCCACCACTACTACAACCACAACCACTACTAGGTTAACTAGGTACGTAAGTACGTGTTCCTATGCCTGACCACGTTGACAATGCCAACAGATTGCGTTGTATCGTATCTTATCGCATCGCTTCGCATCGCATCGTCTTGTCGCGCATCTGACAACTCGTCAAGGCATAGCTCAGCCTGCTCAATGGCTCAGTCCTAGCTAGCTTGAGCTTGAGCTGGCTTGAGCTGACTTGAGCTGGTTCACCTCAGCTCACTTATACCTAGCTGTCACGCGTTTCGCCGCGTTCAATCGCCCGGTGTTTTCCCCCCCTACTCTAGTACTCTCAGTAGTCTCAGTCGGAACGCGTTTCGACGAATCGCCATCTTGCGGGACGATGTATGTTATGTATGTTATGATCTGTATGTACGTACTGTTCAGTCGGCGAGAAGGGTGAACTGGATGATGCAAAATGAAATCGATCGATACTCCGTTACGGAAGGCGCACATTTCGAAAATTGCGGCTGACAAATAGCGTCATTCGCCTTCTTCGCCTATTCAGGGAATAATCATTATGGTTCACATTTTATTCCTTTCGTTTCTGCAGAGTGATGTTTTTTAGTGAATAAAATTTCTATGTCTGGAGACAAATCAATTTCTTATTTCTAATTTATTCCAATGTAATGAGATTAATGTTTAAGATACCACACGACACATTTATGCAAATAAAAAGTGTAAGAAATAGAGTCAAAGAAATGCAAATAATGCTTTTAATATATACATCTTTTTATGCTTGTATAGGCAACAGGGTAAATGCAATGGAGCAGAGAACTGGAAGAGGAAACATAGCGATCAGGACGAGGAAGCTGTTGTTCTGACTGAAAGTTTGGATAAAGAAGAACCTATTCTCACGAAAGTGTGTTCAACGAAACAAGATGCTACATCAAACAAGATCCTACTTGATGCTCCTGCCTCTGCGATAAATGAGAATGTATCAGAGGTGTCGGACGATGCAATCAAGTTACACTTACGACGTAGTTCGAGGTCGAAGCACCACAAAAACAAGACGAAGCATCGCAAAGATAAGCGGAAAAAACGGCGACACTTGAAGAACGGCATTCAAAATAGTAGTTCTATTCAACTAGACAGATTTGAGTGTATCAGTGGAAATGCATCAGATCTGCGGAACAGTTCGGCAGCAAATAGAGATTCGAGTAATCACGAGATCATAATCAGTGAATTAGATCCTAAATTAACATTAGATGAAGTAGAAAACTTGGAAATCGATACAAAACAAGTTAAACCCCCTATGACCAAGACTGATCACGTAGATAGCATTAGAATTCGAAATGATGTAAATAGTACAACCAACAGCGATACCAGGTGCGAGGAAAACGTAATCGATATACCTGACGATTCGCATAAGGATACCTTTGAGAATAATATTATTACTAAGCTGCATTTTGCCGATACAACAACAACAACATCTCTTCCAAAGCATGGATACAATACTGAGAATGTGAACAAGACAAACGTAAAATATTTACTGGATCCCAGTGCCGACGAAACCAGTGCAGTTGAGACACTTGCTGTTGACGACGCACCTGAGAAAGAACACGAGGCCAAATCGATGTGTTGCGTGGAATCGCACGGATACAAGGACGTAACGTCCAACAATTGCGAAGACGCGGAGAATCGTAAATTGGAAAATCGTAAAAGGAGACGGAAACGTCCGCGTCACGATGTGCAAATTCAAGAGAAGGATCTCTCGGAAAATAATGCTTTAGACGAGCCGACGGTGTTTAAACACCGGCGAAAAAAGCACAAGCATACAAACGAGCACAAAAGCAAAAAGCATCACGATGTACGAAAAGCGCCGCAAGACGGCATCGTCAAGCAAGAGGAGGCACGAAACGCGTGTCCACCGGAGGCCGCTGAGCTGCTATCTTCGCCGGCAGAAATTCGATCTTCTGACAGGATCGCCGAGGAGGCGGAAACGCGGAACGGTCGCAGCCCCGAGGGTATCATCGATAGTACTGACGACGTCGCGTCCGAGCCACAAAGACTCGCGATCAAGATCAAGCTTTGTCAGGAATGCAACAGTCGTCATTTGCAGGACGCCTGTCCTCTGACGACGTCACAGTACGCGATAGCCGATATCATCTCTTACGAAAAGTGGTTGAGCAGACATAAGGAGAATTCGGAGATAATGAAAGCCATCGCGTCGGAGGATCCAATGTCGGAGGGTTATGGCAGATTAACGTACGACGGCTTCGAGTCAGATGACGAATCTCCAACGTCCAGCGAACAATGCAAGGCCAAACCGAAAATGCAAAGGGAGGAGAAGCAGCTGGTAGTAGAGATGGATCGACCGCTATACGCGAGAGATTCTCTCCCGGATTGCCTTGAATTGAAAATTGCAAATACCGATCACGGTCTTGGCATTTATGCCAAGAACCCGGTTCCAATGTATGCCAAGTTTGGTCCGCTTATCGGCATCTCGGTTAGAGAAATGGACATTCCGGATGATTTCTCTATGCGCCATATTTGGGAGGTATTATCAGACAGATATTTTGATTCATTGGAATTTTAGTATTGTAAAATTGCAAAAGTAATTATTGCGGAAATGAATCTTTTTCTTTTTTCAGATAGATAATAATGGAAAGAGTACATATATCAGCACTACGGATCCATTAAAAAGCAATTGGATTCGATACATTAGACCAGCTGACACGAAAGAGAAGAGAAGCCTCGCGGTGATTGCTAAGCATGGCCAATTATATTTCGTTACAACTAAGAATATCGCATTGGGAATGGAGCTGACTTATTGGGTAGAATCGCAATCTTCCACATGGACGAGGAAGAATAAAATCAATAAAACGAGTAAGTGTGTACAGAGTGTACCAAACTAATAATTAATTTTTCTCTTTCTCTCTCTCTCTCTCTCTCTCTCTCTCTCTCTCTCTCTCTCTCTCATAGACTGTTTCATGATCGTTTGCATCTCTTTCAGATTGTGGAGGATGCAATCTTATTTTCGCACATTCAATATATTATCGATTGCATTGCTGCATCTTTCACGACATGAATTATAGTTTAACGATAAGAAAATATCATTGCAAGGTATTTTATATATTTACCGTTTTACACACACACACACACACACACACACACACACACACACACACACACACACACACTTGCTCTGAGATTATGGGATTATTTCCCATTTTTTAGGTTTGCGGCGCTACAGTGCTCGGCAAGGATAATATTATGAAACACGCAGCAGAGTTGCACGAGGGTCGCGGCGCATACCAATGTCAATATTGTAAAAAGTTTTTCTTAAGGCTGAATTACTTAGAAATGCACCGAACTTACGGATGCTCACAGAATCCGCATCGGGCGCGACCGTTATGCGATTTCTGCGGCCGCAAATTTTGCCAGCCACAAAAATTGAAAGTACACATCAAGAGGATGCACAGCGGTAATGGCGTGTAATTCATTCGCAAGCAATGCACTGTATTTCTATCTTTATTTTTCTTATATTTTACATGCAATATGTTTTAATATTGTGCAGATATGGCCGAAGTGCTTAGAGAATTTCAATGTAAATTATGCTTGAAACTTTTGGGTTCTCGAGCAGCTCTACAACGGCATATGAAGGAAGTACATCACAAAGATGTTATTGCTGCAGCCACGTGCGATCGATGTGGAAAAATGTTCCAGAACAAGAGCAATTTGAAAATACATATGCTGACTCATAGTGGTGTGAAACCATTTAGGTGAGTTCCTTCAATATATTGTATTAATATTGTATTAATATTATTATTTTTCTCGTAATGAGTGTACCTACTGTTTACATCTGTGGTCTTCTTTTCTTCATCAGGTGTAAAGAGAATGGCTGTAAGGCAGCTTTCACTACGAAACAATGCCTACAGTTCCATTATAAGAAGGTGCACGGTCTTACAGAGGCGATGATGCCGAAAATTGAGAGGTCCGTGGCGTACACCTTTGACGCGTACAGCGGTGGCCTCGTTGAGGACGTGCCTTGTGGAAGGATCATTCATTCCAGCAGAAGGAATTCACAAGTGAGCTCTATCATTAATATAGTTTCATGTAACATTTGGTTTCTTTTCTTATTATGTATTATACTATATATATATATACACACTCGTATGTAGCAGGACAATAGCAACAGTTTGCCATCTCTGGATGACTGCAGCTCGGAGAGCAGTTTGAAAGTCGAAGCATCAGCACCGGTATCGGTACCAGTACCGGTATCAGTACCGGCACCGATACTAACACCAGTACCAGCACCGCTATCAGCACCGGTACTAGCATCGGTATCAGCACCATTATCGTTATCGTCACCAGTATCGTCAACTTCGGATAACTCAACAACCTCATCAGCGCCGATATCGATATCGATCTCGGTGTCGGTATTGGCTTCGGCATCGACAGCAGCAGCAGCAGCAGCAGCAGCAGCAGCAGCAGCAATGACAGGTTCTACTCACAACGTCATTGTGGATTCATTACAAAGTGAGGCGAATTCTACGGCAAAGTATAAGACGGAACAACAAGAGCCTTGTGTTCCGACTACGCAAACTACATCCTTGTCCAGTGGACTTGTGACAACAATGGAGAATGAGCAGACGGAAGTTGATCTATACGACACATCGAGGACGTTGAGCAAGGGCAGCAAAAAGTGGCTAACTGAATTCAATCCACCGCCTACGTCTGACATCGCTGTTCATTTACCGGCTGTTTCGGCGTCGTCTTCCGACATTTATGATTTTGAGGATGGTAGAAAGGATGGTGGTAGTGAGAAAGCGGTATCACGCACCAGTGCGACAACGCCAAATTTGTTAGAAAGCAACAAATTGCGATTAAACGTATATCGTAGCAGGACGGAAAGCGCGAATGCAAGTTTGTTAGTGGAGGCGGCACTGGATGCCGCCGAGAGAGACATAGGAACAGTATCCAGTCCGATTTTGGAGGACAATGATCGCGAGACCAATCTCTACTCTATTTCGAGTCAGCTACAGTCACCGATACCGCAGTCGCGATCGCCGAATCATTTAGACTCGTATATCGTACAGCAGGAAGAGCAACTAATGTCGCCTGCGCCAACTCCGGACGACCGGCATACTCCTCCTAGCCACTTACACGTAGATTATCATTTGCATCGACCGGTCGACTACATCAACACTTCGCGAACGCACAATATCGAGCAATATCTGCATCACGAGGAGATGCAACCACGTGTCTCCTCACCGAATTACATGCACATGCAGCAAGAAGACTTGGTGTCGCCGTCAGCTACGCCAAATCACCGCTATCAGGACATGCATCATCATCAGGTGCCAACGGATAATCTCTCAAGCGACGAGGGTGATTCGGTGGCGCAGAATCTTAGCTTGTCTGTGAAGGAGAAGGCATTGCAGCTAGATCTCTCGACGTCGTACAAGTACGACACGCTCGAACAAGATTTCACCCGAGAGAGATCCAATTTTGAGCCATTGGTGCTTAATAGTGGTGAACTTCAGGGTTTAGACATGTCGGCTCGGGGTTTTCATCACAGTTTTGGCGCCCAGATGCAAAATACCCGCTATCATCATCATCATTTGTACGACATCGGCGAACGACAAAGCGTGGACCTTAGCAGAACGGGCAGTTACTCTATGTCGCCACCCCCACCACCGCCACCTTATCCGCATAACGAGGTCGTGCGAGTGGTCAGCTTGGATCTCACTCCTGGTGGCAGGCACAGTGTTGATCTAAGTCTTTCCAGATCGCATCATCTGCACGGATCTGGTACTCGTGTCATTACCAGTTCACAACCCGTTGGCTCGACTACGACACACGTAGTACCTGACGTCGGCGAAGGTCGAATGCTATCTCCACCTCCACCTCCTTTATCAGGATACAATCCTAGTTATCCCGTGAGTCCGGCCCCGTATCATCCTCCGAGATCCGGATATCATCATTATCCCGGTTATTATTGATTGTCACCGACAAATTGTCAGATTGTCGTAGCGGTTTCAATATAGTCAACATCTTCTCAGCAACTTTTATTGTAGATGTCTTCGGCTCCTTTTATAATTACTTTTACTCCAAATAATTTTATTTTGTGATTGTTCTAATTATTTAACTGTACATGGTTTTTATATCGCGACATATTCGCATCGCAGGCGGGAACTGCCATTTTCATAGTTCATACATTGTAAAGAGTAACGTAAAGTTATGTCTTAATTTCGCGATCAATTTAATATTTAAATCAGTGATGATAAACATTTGATGACATACACGCGCGCGATTAAAAAAGTTAGCAAAAGAAAAAACTTTTCGACTCAAGGAAGTAATAATAAAAAAAATTCACTAATATCGTATGACAGACAGTCATAATATCGTCATTTAACGCGACAAAAGTGTACTCGGTAGTCTTGGTACATCCAGAACACATACAGAACAGATATTATTTTTTTAAAAAAAAGTCAAGTAACTTATGAGATTTTACGAAAAAAAATCTATTCCAGCATGAGTATCGATAGAGGGAAATTCGTTTATCCGTAATTATATAGCTGTTAAATTATTTATCGTTTACCCTTCTCCGATAAGCTGTGTATGCAGAACATGTATGTGTGACGAGTATATCGTTTGTAGAGTAATCGTTGAAGAAAGAGGGAAGAAGAAACAAAATTACGTCGTGATCCAATGCCACGTCCGTGATAATTAAGATTTTAAAAAATTGTTACCTCTCTTAGCTTATATTCTTCTATTTCGGACCTATACTCCATGAAGAAATACTCCATTTAACGTGGCTTTGATGATAACAAAAGCATCCCGGAGCAGCATAATTTTTACAAAAATTATGCAATTTTAGAGATTAAAAAATTAAATTAGAATTTGTTCACACACACACACACACACACACCAAAAAGAAAAGATTTTACAGATGTCTGAACAGATGCGCAAACAATAAAATTGTTTCGAAATTTATATCATTTCTACAAATTGTTAAACTCTGTGTATTATCTGGGATGCTCTGATATTTATGAAATATGTGAAATTATCAAGATGCCTAATACGGTAGCTAGATAAGTGTATCTCTGCATGGTGATAACAGATTGTAACGTTTGTTTTTATTCTAGTCATTACATATGCATTAGCTATGGCGAAATAGCTATAAGTTTTAACAAGTATTCCCGCAATCGCGAATAATTTGTTCAAATACATGTATTTATCGTAAATGCAATTTGTTTGAATTTTGTTTAAAATTTTTCTCGCCGAATCTAACGAGAAAAATTAATGACACACATACACACGCACATGAGAAACAAACGTATTCCAATATAGAAATAAAACGTAACGTAATATGTTTTAATATTTTATAAGTACTCGATTCAATTTCTTTGACTTGAACTTGAACGATATTATTTACACTTAGAAATACATGCGTAGCAATTACGTAAATTTCAGAGTTTCAAAAGAGATAGAAAGTTTGTGCGTGTATGAGAGTTGTGTGCGTGCGTGCGTGTGTGTGGTGTGTACACGCATACATATATCGACGTGTTTCACGCGAATGTACGCATGAAGACGATTTATAAGCTCGTGTGTGTAACACATTAATTTTCGTGTCGCTTCCAGATTTCTGGATTTTACTCTCTCTAGCCATTTATCGAAACCAAAGATCTAAAAATATTGTAACTCTTGTGCCAAATCGAAAGGCGTTCATTGTTATATTGTATACATACACAACTTTTAGCAAAACGTAGCCATTAAAGAGGGAGGGGTGGGGGGAGGGGGCAACGCGCGTAATGTTGTCTCTATCACTTTTGCCATACTTACTTGATTATTCAACTACGCTTCACTCGTGCACTCGTGCGAATAATTTTACATGATGAATATTTAATGAAACTTTTTTTATATAAGTTTTTCACAATTTTTCTGCCATTAAGAATAGTTACCATTTCACATTTACTTTAATCGTCAATTTTTATTTAAATATAATTCACGATTGCGTTTCCATTTCTTTTTTTTTAGCTTATTCTATAATTCTTAACGATTGTAACTGTAGCGTTACAACTCTTATCGATTGTAAGAGTTACAGAATAGGCTTCTATATCATAATTTCTACATTGTGCATAATGTAAGGACAACAAACGGGATACATCTGTATTAAAATATTAATATATATATATGTATATATCTCATACAGCACAGAATTTGCAGCAATATCGCTGCAAAATTGCTGTAACATACAATGTTGCAACAGTGTTACTGCAACTTTGTGCTATGGGGGATTTATATACATATATACTTGCGTGTACATGACAAAGAGAAAGATTCAAAAGAAATGTTTACGAGTACAAAATGTGGCACAGACTATATTTGTATCAGGTTTATCGACATTAATATTGTAAGTTAATATTAATAGAATATGGCAATGATTAAACAGAGAGATGTATTTTCTTTCATTCAAAATTATCCTTTTTATAATGGAATCCATAGAGATAAAAAATGCATTAAGCATTTTTTTTTCTTTGAATTTCGCCTCGCGATTGAAGTGATAGTCTCTTCTGCAATAAATCACTTACTGCTATGTACATAAATATAAGAGTTTCAGTACAGAATTGATCGCATTTTGCGAGACTTGAGCAAAAAAATCACTGCAGAGAATAAGGATTTGTGTAAAGGACGGAAGACAGATGGAATGGAATAAAAAATCACAATCACAGTGTGTATATCATTGTATAATGTAAAGAAGAAATTATGAAAAAAATTGGATATCGCATGTCGAAATCATTGATATCAATTGCCAATTAGTATTTATCAGATCTAACGGATAGAGGTCAGTATGGTTTGATGTTTTTTGTTTTCCAGCTGTTTTTAGCGTCTTCCGGTGATGATAGGAGCGGAATAAGCCGAATAAGCCGCCGCCGGTAGAGCGGGGTAAGCAGAATAAGCGGAATAAGCCAATGGCGCAGCCGCTACGTATGGAGCGGCAATGGCGTGATTGATGGCATGTGCATTGTAACTGGTGGCGTAGGTACCGACCGTCAGAGCTGCGGGCACCGCCGGCGCCGCTGGAATTGCTGGGACCGCTGCAGAAATCACTCCGGCGCGGGCCGAACAGACCGAAAAGACGGCCACGAGAGCGCCAATGAGAACCTATGAATTTCAAATATATGAATTTCGGATAATCGAAAAAAACCCCTCTCTGCAATGTTAATGTTAAATAATATTAAATACGGATATGTAAGTAATTAAATGTGAAGAAACTTTTAAAATCGCTTTTAGTATAAAAAAATTATGTTGAAAAATTATAATGATGTAAATGGTACGACAA